CAGCAACTAATATTTCGTTTAAAATATTTTTATCATGGAGAGAATCATGCTACCATATCATGTTTTCTCTTATTTTTAATAAAAATCCTCCAAATATGCCCACAACAATTATTTTTTTGTATATAGGCAATTCATATGGCTATCGAAAAACAAACTTTCAAATAAATACAGAAAATAAAATAAACAAAATCACAACTTAAACATTTTTATCATGGAGAGAATCATGCTACCATATCATGTTCTCTCTTATTTTTAATAAAAATCCTCCAAATATGCCTACAACAATTATTTTTTTGTATACAGGCAGTTCATATGGGCATGATACGAAAAAGAAGGTAGTTTCATTGTCATTTTTCGGGCGCCATATTAACTACCTGATAATAAGGCAGATTGTGACATTTCATGCTACCATACCTAAACCCCAAATATTATTTTTTTGTAAAAAAAAAATAAAGAATTACAAAATAAATAGAAAATTTATCTTTGTTGTGAGCAGTTAGAATTTAAATTCTTCAGCATACATACATACATCTTCATATTTGCAATAAAAGCAAAATAACAACGTAGATTAATGTTTTGTTTCATGTAATTTAAATTTGTTTATTTCGTTTTTATATTTCCTCATCTCTGTAGATTGATATTCTTCAAAGGATCTTTAAATGCTTAATAAAAACTTTCAAATTTGTTTATCGATCACATCAACTTGGGATTTTTCATATGTACATTTACATTTGTATTTACTCTTCTATAAAATCCTAAATATTTCATAAAAATTTCCCTTCTCAAAAAATTTCAATGTGGCAAAACTTTGCTGAAAGTTCACATCTGGAGAAATGTCAAAAATCTGCTTTATAATAAAAAAATAGTAGTAATTAAACTACCTTATTTTTTGTATCATGCATATGGCTATCAAAAAACAAACTTTCAAATAAAGACAGAAAATAAAATAAACAAAATCACAACTTGATACACTTAAAAACATTTTTTTAAATTTGTAATTTTTATCCAATTTTACCCCAAACAAATTAAACGTTTACTATTTTGTACGTACGAATACAAATGCAGAGGATAGAAAAAACAGTAGATGACACGGAGAGTAATTGTTTCTAAGTTTCTAGGTTAGTCCAGTCTTAGTCTTGCATAACTGAGCTTTAACAATGAGTTCATTCACAGGTCCATTTGTCTGTCTAAAGGCGCTGGCCCAATGCAGGCTTGCTTTGGGTGCCTTGCTGACTTTAGTTTGCTTTGATTTAGTCTGAAAACTTGTTTGGCCGAATGGCGGCTTGAAACGCTGTCAAAGTAACCAGCTCTCTGGTTGAAAAGTCAATATCTGTTCCCTTAACATTAATTATTGTTTTCCTAGAAAACTCTAGAAGATGTATCAAAAACTTTCAGATTTATTTTTAAATTAATGCGAAATAATGTTTGTATTTAAAAAAACTGGCAGCAATGACACATACATATGTATATCTACAGTTACTAAAAAAACTATAACTTAAAAAAGCAATTTACTTGAAGAAGAGCTATAAGAAGTTTTTTCCTCTCGTGTAAAATTTGTAAAAGTGAGCTTTGCAATTTTTTACTATAATATAACGATATGTTATATTTGATTTCGAATTACTTTTTTTTAAATTAAGTAAGCAAATTTTTGTTTGAATTTATGTATTTTGAACAGGAACATGCCTCTTTGTCAAAAGCCTACAAAACGCTTTCAAATAAAACATTTGTCTATTTAAAACTTTGAGGCGCTTAAACCAAGTGAAGAAAAGCTGCCATTTGGCCAGCCTTTATACATTTCAGTATGTTCCAAATAATTTTTGACACTTCTCGGAGCGAAGCAAGCAAAAAAATTAAAAATTGATATTATTGATTATTTTATTTTCAAACCATTTTCCCATATCGAGTGCTAATTGGAAAATCGACCTATTCCGGCAGCCAGCTCGAAAACGCTCTATCTCAAAAAACTTCTCAAGAACACCCTATTCAGAATTTGTTTCAAAAACGCCCTATCTCAGCTGCCGATTCAAAAACGCCCTATATCAGCACATTTTCAATACATTTTGAAGTGAGATAGGGCGTTCTTCGTTGGCTTTTCTTTATGGCCGTTAGTTAAAGGGGCGTGGGCGAAAGGTAAGTAGGCGTAGCATCTCTAACCCACCTTTTTGGAGAGGGAATGAACCGCCATTGACAAAAATGCAACCCCCGACCACCTAGGTCCCCTATGGTTCCCTAGGGACCCCTTAGAAAAATTGCCAAAAATCACAATTTTCATTTGCGTTTATTTGCTGGAAAAATGTTAA